TCTTTCCTGCTTAAATTGAGAGGAAGAGCAGCTGTGTCCGCTCACCTTGTCCACCTGGCCGGTGGTTAGCTCAGTTGGCCCTTTGGCATCCTCTTGCTTCCTGCAAGTGTCTTGACTGTAACTGCCCAGCTTCAACCCAAGCTTGTTTCCCAAATGTAATATGGAGTCAGTGGAGGGGATGCAAGCTCCTGGCCTGTGTAGGGTTGTCTGTTCTGCCCCTTGCACACCTGCAGGTCTCTACTGCTTTTGCCCTTCTACTGGTGAACTAGTGTTGGGCTGAAGCTCCTGCAGAGTAGGCAAGAAGTATGTGGGGCCCAGGTCAGGACTAGACACTGGCTGCTTCTTCCAACAGCCTCCAGAGCCAGGCTGCTCCTTCACTGGGAGGGTTGTGCTTGCTGGTGTTCTCCAAAAGTTAATGATGGTGCCCACAACTACAAGAGTGTGCTGTGCTCCTGGGTAGCCTAGCGGAGCAGATGTCTTCCTTTCCCTGCCCCTTGTGTGTAGGGTGGTGGAGCCAAGGGCTGTTGCTAGTTGCCCCTGGCAGGGAGGACCAGGAAAAAACCCCTCTGGCCTGGCTGAGGTGGTTGAGGGAGATGAAGCCACTACTGCACTTCCTTCAAGGATGATCATCAGTGACTGTATGGGGACCCTGAGTGTAAGAGTTAGACACCAAAACTTTATGGTGCATAGTGGGGGAGACAGACCTCTGCTCTCTTAAAGTGGAGGGTATCAAGGAGGCCTTTAGCCAGATCTTTTCCCTCTGGGGTCTTAGTTCCTGCCGTGCAGTTGGCAAACTACTAGCTTTCAAAGAGGTCTTCTGGCCTGAAAGATGACCCTGAGGCTCCAAGGAGCTCCCTGTATAGGTAGGACTCCCTGCCCAAGGAAGTCCATAAGTGGTGATGTGCCCCTAAGCCTCAGGGAGCTGCTGTAGCCCCTCTAGGCTGTGGCCATGGCTGGAGCTAGCTCTCTTCTGAAGAGCAGCTGGGTTGGCTGAGCAGTTACAGCCACTTCTTGCTGTGTTGTGCTTGAGCCGGCGGTGACCTCGCAGGGAGACGTTCTGGCGCAGTATATGTTACCAATAAAGTTTTATGGGGTTAAACATTACTCAGGCTGACAGCTCTGAACTGCCTGGTCTCTAGGCAGGAGCCCTGTCCCTTGCCGAGCTGAGGCAGGGTGGAGCAAGTCAGTGAGATGACTTTTTGCTCACAAACTGGGCTAAAAGCTGTAACCTTAGTCTTGGTGTGCTGAGTCCTCTGCTCTCACTGGTAGGGGCTGGTTTGCCTTGCTGGCGGGGTGGTGGGCACATGGGTTGTTCTTCAGGACAGCTGCAGTTCTTCCTCCTGAGACTGGTGTTGGTTGGAGGGTGTTCATGGGGATGGACAGAGCTGTAGCAGCTCCACAGCAATCGGTTCTGAAGCAGGCATGAAGTTGGAGGCTGTAGCTAAACTGAGAGCTTGTTGCAAAAGATTTAAACCTGAAGTGCTTGTCCTCTCGCAGCTGTGTTCAAGTCTGGTAGCAAGCGGGAGAGGAGGTGGCTGCCCTCTGTGATGCACCTATGCAACCTCCTGAAGAGCTGCCCAGAGGGCTGGCAGGAGTGACGAGGGGCAGGAGATGGTGTGAGGCTGGCCTGGCCTCAGCTCGTGCACTGGGAGCCATCGGTAAGCTGCTCGCAGATGAGCCTGATGGCTGCTGCTCCTGGCACCGCTGTGCTACGGTGACGCTCCTGGCAGGCACCAGGCTGCTGTAGATGTGACTGTGGCCTGACCCTGCGTTGCTAAGAGCCTCTATCTGTGGAGGCTCCGTGGACTTTAAGATTGTCCCATCTGCCTTCCCTCCCTCCCACCCTCTCTCAAATCCCTCCTTTGATGTCCCTAGTGAACTCCAGCCATGATGCCAGCGCAGGCTAGCCCTGAAGCTCAGAGCTGTCCCTGGAGATGGGACACCCTAGTGATGCCTTATTGCAGCTAGTGGAGTGGCTGTACTACAGCTCCATTCCTAGAAGTGTTAAGCATGATGGCAGCCACGTCTGGAAAGACTGGTAAGGTAACCATCTCTCCTCCAAGGTGCACCATGGGATTTGCAAGCTTCTGCCCATCTCTAGCCCGTATCTCCTTGGCAACCCAGTGCATGGGCCTCACGCTACCCACCCACCAGAGCCTGGGGAATGAGATACCAGGCCTTCTTTCTAACCCACATCTCCAACTTGGCAGCACATGACATGGCGCACACAGCATGGCACCATCTTACATCAACTCCTCCCAGCTGAGCCAGGCTCAGCCAGGTCCTGCCGGTGGGAGGGGAGCAGCCTGGTTGAGCCAGGGCAGAGACAACCCTGCCACTTGGTGTGAAAGAAACCTGGTTTCTCCCCAACCACGACCCTTCGAGGGCAACCAGAAATACACCTTGACCTCACTCCTGGCACACGGTGGGGGAGGTGAGTGACGTGATAGTGATAGCACACAACTAAATTCTAGCGGGCACGTTAGACAACAGCACTTGCCAGTCACTTTGTTCCAGAATTGCATAACGGGACAGACCCTGCCTTAATCATGGGTCTAATCTCACCTCTTTCCTCTCCAGTTACTGGAAATGGAGCAAGTTCCTACCCGGAGCTTGGCTTCTCTTGCAACCTGAAATCACAGACAGGACACTAGTCTTGTGAGCTGTAACAAAGGGAATCGGCAGCCGGGGAGAGACGGGAGTGGCATAGGAAACTGAGAGCTTGGGAAGAGGGAAGATGGCCTGGACTGGGACTGGTTAGCAAGGAGGACGGTTGCTGTGGTCAGCTCTAACTGAAGGATCAGAGTCCTGGCTCACTTCTCCTTGCAGTGGTTCTGGGTAGACTTTTTTCTTGTGTGGTAGTGATGTTGGGGAAAGAAGTTATCAAAGATTGGGGCCCAGGTCTGCCTTTGCCCTTGGAAGACTGTGAGGTGCAGAGTTGGTCTCCTGGAAAGATGGGTAGAGCTTGACACAAGCATAGAGACAATGTCTTGTTCTGCTTGGACCTGGTGAACAGTTTCATCTATTGCCTGTGTGATAGGGTTGAACTGCATTGCATCTCTGATGTAAAACCACTTGTTTTGGAGTGCCTCTAAGCCAGGCTCTGAGTCGGCAGTAGGAGACACCAGAGGCTATCAATGCTCCTTGGAGCTCTTCTGCAAAGACGTGCTTCCAGCTGTGGCAGCACCCCTGAGGGCAGGACTCTGCTATGGGCAGGACTTGCCCTGGAAAGCAGGGGCTGGATGCAGGATTGTTTCATAAGAACATGGGTGAGGCTGGCAGTGGTTACCACATGGTGCTTGTAGGAGACTAGGCTGATGTGTTGGGTACTCAGAGCTCAGGAGACTGTCTGTGGTAGATACTTCTAAGGCAGGGAGCAGGTCATGGACTTGAGCGCTCACAGATGTCAGTCCTTTTGGGGGTGGGCTGCCCAAGGTGCCCTCAGAGCATCCATGTCACTGCTGCTGGCAGCAGCCTTGTCTGGAGGCTTCGAGGAGATGGTGGAGGTGGGCCTTTGAAGCTGGGACCTGTCCAAGCAAGTGGTGGGTGGAAGGAGCAGTCCTGGATTATGGCGTGGTGGTGGTACAAGAGCCCAGCAGGACCGTGAGGCTTCCCAGCACTGAGTTGAGGCAGACCCCATTGATGGAAGGAGAGAACAGTGCTCAAAAAAACCCCTTTCCCTCTTGTTTACTGCCTGAAGTGGCTCAGAGCAAGCTGGATCTCCTGAACAGTGGTGGCTGTTGTGGATGGACATGAGGCAGATCCCAGTGGCTGTGATCTGGTGCTGGCCCTAGAGAACTGAGAGTGTGGGGAAGATCTGCTGGGGTGGGCTCAGGTGCTGTGCTCCTCCTCAAGTACTGCTTCCCGTTGGGATGCTGCTGTTTGCTCGGTGTGTGATC